CAGGTTCACACATCACAAGAAGTCATGGAGCTTTCATACCCTTGCCGGTCTGTCATGTTGCAGCATTTCTGTATAGTACCTCTGGATTTCCAAAACAATGAAGAGAATCAACAGTCTGTTTTAACATTTCCACACTTCAGCACAGATTTTCTGGTCATCTGGACTAAGGATTTCCAATTTACCATTATTGGTAAAGCATCGTAGAGTTCTGTGGAAAGAGCAGCCGTAGAAGTAGCTGCTCATCCATCCATTCTCTATGACCCTCAGCATCATCACACACTTTATTTCTATTGGTTAAGCAATGTGCCCATCTCACTATGTACTTTTGGAAACATGGAGAAAGCAGATAAATGCAAGGAGGGAGAAGGGAAAATTCTGGTAAAAATGTTTATTATACTTTAATAAAAATTCCTTTGGGGATTGGAGTGTCTAAGAAGAGGGAGAACCTGCTTCAATGGACAAGTCAGTACAAAGCTGCTGAAGTCCATAAAGAGTAAGGTAGGAGATTTTGCTTATGGGGGATGCTGGGATGCATGGTGGAAGGACCAAGTGGGGAATACAGATTGCATTGCCCAGAGTTGTTTATTAACGTTCAGGTAAAAGTAGTATTTTACTTGTAAGCAACAAGCAAAATCTTTTTAAAAATATGTTGTCTGTCTTGAGCTCTGGATGGCCTCCGGCTGAAAGGAAATTTTAAAATTTAAAATACTAAGTATATGTCATGCCATGTCCTTATTTTTGTCCCATGAAAACAGGTCACTGTAGCATTGGCATAGTTCTCTGAATGGCCTGTAGAATACAATCCATGCAATTGTTCAGACAAATAGCTGGGGCTTTCTTTATGGCTTGCTTACAATATTTCCCTCCACAAGTGTATGTGCATTTATGCATACATACATACACATGCATGCCTGCCAGTGGATTCATGTCCACAGAAGCCTGCCATCATGAATGTGTTAAGGTGCCACAAGACTCTTTCTTGGTTTTGCTGCAAAAGGTTAACCTAGCTACCCTTCTGGAAAACGATGCACATAACACACTGGATGTGGAAAACTTGTCCTACAGGAGATTTTTCGCAGTACTAAAGGAGCAGATGCAGACATAAGAACTCTGACGACGCATGATATTTTACAAGTTTCTATCATTCTTCTCCTGGAACATAAAAATCAGATATGGACTAAATTGCCAACCTCAAGTCAGTCATCACACTGTACATAGCCTTAAATACTGGATATTCACCAAACACATCATTTACATGAGATGTGTCTGTGCATGTGATTAAATGCATGAGATGTTCATTTTAAGTCAGGGCATTGTTTATTCATTAATTGCTATCCAGGATAATTGTTGGGATTTACCTGCAACCGAGGAATACAAACTCTAAACTCATTTAACTAAATTCACATTAAGCCCCTTTAAAATTTAAGGGGGAAGTGCTCAACATGGAGATACAGGCAAACTTATTTAGAACAACCAACATATTTTATTCTTGAATATGTTTGAGAGTGACAGAGAACTCATACCTCAACCACAAAACTAGTTCAGCCAGCACCCTTGCATGAAGGAAGGTGTCATCCTGGCTAATTTCCCTGATAGAGTTGCCACTGATGTTTTGAGATTTGCAGATCATGATCAGTATGTGACTATAGCATGCAACTGATGGTTAGATAAAAATACTGTAGGGCACATTAAAAGACATCATAGAAATCCCTGTTTAATTAACACTCCACTCTTCAATAAAAAGTGGGAAATGATCAAGTTAAAATTATGTACATGTAAATCCCACTGATTTTAATCCAGGAGCTAGTCAAATGCTTAACTATCTCCCCCTGAAATCAAACAGGGTTTCCAAATGTTTTAACTTTGGTGGTCCCAGAAATTACTTGGAATGTCCCACTGAATCACTTTCCAAAGAATGGGTACAATCAAGCCAAGGCTAAGCAGAGTTCATTCCCAGAATCCCTGGAAGCGAAACAGGAATGAAAACTGCTGAATGCATTAAGGATCAAATTGTGAGCATTTCATTTTCACAAATATGCAAAAATGGAGAAAGATACATCAAATTTTAAGACATAGTGTTTTTTAAAAAATAATTGTAAGATCAACCTTAACATTTATAAACGTTATTGCAATGTCATTTGTAAAAATTAAAATAGCACGTTTTCTTCCTGGCACAAAATGATAGAACAGCAGTTGTGTGTTCAAGCAGCTTTTATTTGCAGACTGATACTGTTGTTAAAAAAACAAAAACCCAGTCCTGAGACATTTATATGTATTTATGAAGAGTGAGCTTCATTGTCACTTTGCTATACAAAGAAAGAAGATACAAAAAATGAAAGCACTTCATTCAAGAATCTCAAACACTTGAAAGCCTTGAATAATTTGAAAGTTTTGATCATTAGCAGGTATTTATTTCATTTTTCTCCCTCTTCTCTTCCAAGGAGCTCAGGCCTTTGCCCCCTCACACACAGTTCATTCTTGCAACAGCCCTGTAAGGTAGGTTAGGCAAGTAGACCAGCCCAGTATCACCTGATGAACTTTATGATCTTAGTTCTCTCCAATTCTTAAAAGCACATTTACACCCATGTTTGATTCTGAGGAATAAGCATGAACATTTCCATTAATTACATTTAATATATTGGAGCAATACATATTTCTTCCTAGCTGTTTATCCTCATGCTAACCCTGTAAAGTAGGCAACATTAAAAGCACTTCAATCATCGACTTTCTCAGTTTTAGTCAAGAGAGAGATAAATCTGTCTTGATTTCTCCCACATTCAGGTACTGATGCGCATTTTCAATCTCATGTTCTTTCTGGACTGAATATGAAGAAATTTGAGACTTTCTTCAGACTGTAATGCAATTCTCATGCATGTGCCCTAGATAAATTTAATGACTACAGCTATTCCTAGCATAGAGAAGACCATGTACCTGCTTTCCATTAACCTGTTAAAGACAAGGTGTCCTCTGGGGGTAAGAGTTGCAGCAAGCCTAATTCAGCATTATAAACACAGTTGAATGCAGAGGACTTCAAGCCCAGATTTTTATGAGCCAAGTACTCAGCTCCATCCTGAGTGAACAAAGCTACCATTCTCCCACAATAGATTTGGTTGGTCATTTGTTTGTTTGTTTTTTTATACTCAAAATCTTTCTGTCCCCAGTGTCAGGAAATTTGATCATTTGGTAACAGTTTGAACTTAGTCCTCATTTGACAAACTAACCTGGTACCCTCCAGATGTTTTGCACTACATTTCCCAGAATCCTTGTCTATTCACCTTTCTGACAGGGGCTGATGGGAGCTGTAGTTCAAAACCTACCACCTGGAAAATGACAGTTGCCTGTCCCCGATCTAACAACTGTCCAGCCCTCCATTCTAATAAATGACTCCAAATTCAGAACCAAAGCTTGTGTAGCATCATAGCCTGGACTCAGCATTGCAAAACTTTCCAGAAGCCTGCTACTGGGTACATTCCCCTATCAGCTGCAGAGAAGAAAGCACCAAGTTGCCACAGGTTGGACTCTGCCACCTATAAGTCAGCCTGCATCTTACTAAGAGTAACCTGCTGCACAAAGGAGGGGGAGGGCCAGCAAGGCCCACCTTGGCTTCCTCCATTGGGAGAACCCTTAGAGGTAAGGCGGGGTTTGGCAAGAGCAAAACACAAACCAACCACCTGCCCACACCACCTTTTCCAGTCGATTTCCCTGTCATTCTCCGAGCTCGACAGATGCCCACCTTTGCTTTTTATTTTGGTCTGGCTACCTTGCCTGATCCCCACCCCGCAGCCCCAGGGGGTAGCTCCACCTCCTCCCCAGCCGGCTGAGGGTTATAATGGGCTGGGCTGGCAGTCGAGAGATAATGACAATATACGACTAATGACAACAGCAGCGGCTCGACTGGGGCTCCTGCCAGCAGGCGACTTGCAAGCCAGCACAGGGCTGGCTGGACGGATCTCAGCGCGCCTCTTCTTCCTTTGCAGCCCGAATGCTGGGAAGGAGGCGAGGAGAGGAGAGTGGCCAACAATTAATCCAGGCCAAGCTTCCTGCACTTTATATATGTTGGTGGGAAGAACATGTGGCTTGACCTTTTGGGAGCCTTTGAAGAAGATCGCAGCCATCACTCCTAGAAAGAGAAGAATTGAACCAGCAAGGATTTTTGTGGAGGAAGGTATTCCAAAGTCGATTCAAAGTTCTTCAGCCACCTGTTACCTTCAGCTCCGCCACCTGAAGCCAACAACATAAAGCAACCGGTGGAAAGGTGGGAGAAGGGAAAGAGCATCTTCCTTGGGTCGACCATCCCCCACTGCAATCACACCAGAAGTTCGGAAAGGAGACCTTCCAAACTTCTAGGTATCATTCAGGTGAGAAGAGACAGACTCACTTTAATGATACAGTTCTAGGAAGGAAGGAAGGGCGGAAGCAAGGAAGATTAGGAATGAAGAAGGAAAGACGGACAGACGGACAGAACAAACCTCACCTGAGTCCATAAATGGTAGGAGTGAAGTGCATCGATTCTGCTTTCTAAGAAGCCACTTTGAAAAGTGTAGGGAAGGGAACGGGAAGAGAGTGCTGCTTCTTATCCACACACTAGAAGAAAAAAGCCCACCAACGCCCCCAAAAGAAACTTCACCAACGGAATTCAGATTCTGCGGACTTTTCTCACAAGTTCAAGAGCGGCCGGAAGCCCGTGTTTTGTTTCTTTGTTGTTTCATCTCGGGACGGCAGAAGCACAGGCACCCCTCCACCTGCCGTTGCTCTGAAACCTCGGAACTCATTCCGTGGCTCCCCACTGAGGGACGCCTAATTCCTCCCCCGCCCCGCACCTTCGGAGAGGAGGCGCGCATCCTAACTCCTCTAAGTGTCGCGCACGCCCTGCCTGAGATCAGCGCTGTCCGGGGCGGAAAGTCGCACCCGCGCGCGCGTCCCTGGTGGGGAGGCGGCGGCAGCGACCTGGGGGCCAACGAGGAGCGCGGCTGGGCCCCTGCGAGGCTGGAGGCGCGAACATGAAGCTGGAAGTCTTCGCGCCGCGTTACGAGGGCAAGCTCGGCGCCGGCAGCAGCGACCAGGAAGGCGGCGCGGCGTCTCCGCTGGCCGCCGAGAGCGAGCTGGGCTCGGACGGCGACTGCGCGGCTCTCAGCCCGGCCAGCGGGCGCGAGGACTCCCCGCGGCAGGGCTCGGCGCCGCGGCCGGAAGCGCCGCTGTCCCCTGTCGGCAAGGCGGCGGCGGCCCCCGGCGGCAAGCCGTACACGCGTCGCCCGAAGCCGCCCTACTCGTACATCGCGCTGATCGCCATGGCGATCCGGGACTCGGCCGGGGGGCGCCTGACTCTGGCCGAGATCAACGAGTACCTGATGGGCCGCTTCCCCTTCTTCCGCGGCGCCTACACAGGCTGGCGCAACTCCGTGCGCCACAACCTGTCGCTCAACGACTGCTTCGTCAAGGTGCTGCGCGATCCAGCGCGGCCGTGGGGCAAGGACAACTACTGGATGCTCAACCCCAGCTCCGAGTACACTTTCGCCGACGGCGTCTTCCGCAGGCGCAGGAAGCGCCTCAGCCGCCCCGGGCCCGCTGCCGGGGCCAGCCAGGCGCAGCCGCCGCCGCCGCCGCTTGCGCCGGCCTCTCCGTGCGGCAGCGCCGACCAGAAGCCCCGCGCGAGTTCGCCCGGGGCAGGATCGGCCGCCGCCGCCGGCCCCTCGGCCTCAGCCGGTGCCAAGTTCTTCAGCTCCTTCGCCATCGAGAGCATCTTGAGCCGACCTTTCCAGCCCGCCGAGCAGCAGCAGCGCCCCCCGGCCCCCCTGGGAGAGAGGGCGGTGCTGTGGCCAGTCCCGTCCTCGGGCTACTCTCGGCTTCTCGCCCAGCCCGCCGTTTCCTACGGGCTTGCTGCTCCTCTCGCGCCGCCGGCGGCTTCTTCCCTTCATCACTTCGGCCTTCTCGACGCCGTCTTCCTCGAGGCAGCCGGGGGGAAGGCCCTGGCGCCCTGCGAGACGCAGCCGCTCTTCCCCCAGCGGACCTCGGCCTTGCCCCCATCCGCCTCTCCCTCGCCTGCGCTCGGCGTCTCTCCGCTGTACTGCCCCCTCCGGCTGCCCGGGTCGTTGCAGCCGTTTGCCTCCTATAGGCCTTATCCAGCAGAGACCCTACCCGTGTAGTGATAGAACTAGGCAAGCCCCCGCCCTCATGAAGGGGTAACTCAAGGACAGCAGACAGGGGCTCTGAGCACTAAAATGATTTTTGTTTAAATAGAGAGACGAAAAAGCATAAAGACTGTGCCTTAATGATGGATTTCCCTTGAGACCAAATGCAAACGCGCTTCGGTCTTTTTTCTTGTTCGCTTTTAGTCTTGGTGAAGCACAGATCGTCTTACTGATTGGCTGAAGGGAAGTAGGGCCCTACTCTCGGTTGGCTGTTGGGGTCATTCTTTTCTGGCTGCGGCAGGAATCGCTTTTCATTCACAAAGCTGCGAGGCGCGCTCTGTCCTCCGTTCTTACCTCATTTTATACATGTGAGTGGAAGGGTGAGACCTTTTTTTCCATTATAATAATTAGAGCATAATCCTCTGTAAATTTGCTCAGATGTCAGTCTGATTGTGTGCAGTGGGTCTTACTTCCAGGTAAGTGCGCCTCAGCGTTACGGCCTAAAGTTATGATTCTCAAACGTTTTATGGGCTGTATAAGTCCTGCTTAACAGCACGTGCCCTACAGACTTAACAAAGGTTGCTAGCCTTTTAGCCACGGGGTTCCTGTGCCTTGAACAACCTAGAGGCACAGTTCAGACTGGTGTGAAAGACCCCAAAACTAAGCCAGTAAGCTGGTGATCATAAAGATCTCCGTTGATTTCAAGGGAATCAAGGTTGTAACCCTATGTGCACTCACCTAGGAGTAAGTCCCACTGATTTCAGCGGGACTTAAGGGTACATATAGGTAGGGTTGCAGTCTGAGATCCAAGTTCACCAGGGCAGGGAGGGCGTCTTGCAGCCCGCTGGATGGTGCGGAACTGCAGTCCATCAACATGGCACGGGGGATCGGGGGGGGGGGGTCGGGAGCGTTTCGAGATGTCTGCACCAAGAGTAAACCGTTTAGCCTCAGGCTGAGTCTCTGTGCCTACGTCACTTACGGGGCGGCCCGTTTACATATAGGAGCCCTTATTTCCAAAGAAGCCCGCATCAGTACCGCTTTTCAGGCCGTGTCTGGGAAGAACTTGCATAGACAACGACTGGCGCGAGCTCTGCCTGCAGCCCGGATTCCCAAGACCTGTATGAACCGGTGAGGCCGGCTACGTTCTGCGGCACTTGCAACAGAGTAACCTCGCTATCGTGAGAAGTCTAGATATGACCACTCTCGTCTGGCTGGGAGGCAGGCATCCCGAAAGCTCCTAACCCGAGAGGGCTGCCCCGTCGTGTGCTCGGCTCTGGGGGACGCGCGTTCTCTGAGAAGCGGCGCTATCGTTCACACGTTACTCCGAGGAGAGTGCCCCTGAGACTTCCACCCCCCGCCCATGTGCATGCTCTTGCAGCCTAAAATGGATTTAACCCTGCCACCAGGGGGTTAGCTAGTTTAAGAACCGTGATCCTAAGACGCTGACGAATGAAGTCAGGGTTTCTTAAAGATGCACGTGTGAGTCTTTCTCGCATTAGGGCCGCGCATCCTAAGAAGACAGCGGAGTACTCCAGCAAATTGGAGGGGGGAGTTTAAAAACACCGTTCCGGGCTGTCGTATTGTCGTTTTATAAATGTTTCTATTACACTGAAAATACATTTTCGCCCCGTCCCGCTCGCACTTAGCCGGAGTGGGGAGGGGGAAATCGAGGTGCCTCGCGGGGCTCTGATCAGCTCTGTTGTTCTGGGGCCGGCCAGGGATGCAAGCGGAAACCCTCGAAGAGTGCTGCCACTGGAAAAAGGAAAGAAAGGATGGGAAAAAGAGGAGCATGCTCCTGTTGTGAATTGTGTGAGTGTGTGTGTGAGAGAGTGAGTTTTATGGAACTCTCTCGATCCTGGTTATTTTCAAATAAAAGTTGAAATAAAAACGGCCGAACGCGCTGACTTTGCGTGCATAGCCCCAGGGGAATCTGCTTTGAGGGGGCAAGGAGAAGCAGTGGGGGGCAGGCAGTGGCGTGTGCGGGGCAGAGACCGCTGGGAATGGCTGCGTGGCGTCCCGCAGAAGTTGAGGCCCGCGTTTTGACAGTGGCGCGGAGCATCGCAGGTGCGCTACTTTGTCTTGGGATCTGGCCGAATCTAAGCGGGGTGACTCTCAAGTAAGCATGTAGAGTTAGGGAGCCCAACGCCTACTCTGGCTGGAGCAAGTCCCATGGGGCGGAAGGGGGGGTCGCTGGGGCATACTTTTAGGTTATTTTACATAAAATCGCAGCTTTAGGCTGTGGTCCTCCTTACCTGCGAATAGCTCCATTGAACTGAACGGGATTTACTTTCGAATGGGCGGAGCAGAGTGCTGTTAGCCGTCCTGGACCCTGCTCAGGAAAGCGACTCCCTCGGTCCTGCCGTGCTCCTTGCATCTTTTCTCAGTCCTGCCCAAATGTCCTGCCTTGAGCTGTCCCGAAGGAGCCACCCCACTTAGCAGGCTGGGTCAGCCAAAGCGCAAGGGAGGCAGGAGAGTGGCCGAAGAAAGGCTCTCTCCTCGCTTTTGCGCAAAAGAACAGTCTTGCGATCGCGGCAGCTCTTCACGCTCCGGTTGCTCCTGAAACAGAATAAGGTGATCGTGTAGTGGGTTACCCGGGTCCCAGGGAGCACGCGGGCTCTTTTGCGGGTGGGCCAGAAGGGCTTACGTTTTCGAGGTAGGTTCTTAGAGATGGAACACTGAACCCTGTCGATGTAACAGGCACGGATGGGGCAGGAGGGGTCTGCAGGCATTTCATGGCTCTAAGCTAAAACCGCGACCCCGAAGCCGGAGGATTTGTCGGCTTCAGCGCTATGGGGCTTGCCCTGATCCCGCTGCAGATCCCACTGACGGCAGTGACAGGTCTCCGTCCAATATCCAGCTTAACGAAATGGTGGTTGTAATCTTAAAGGAAGCCGAATTGATGGCGAAGCCACGCTTCCTGCGCGCCCAGCGCCCCAGAAAGGGGAAGGGATCTGCTGACATTTAAATTAGGCTCCGCGGGTCAAGTTTCCACCCGAGTGCGCGTAGGATGGGCGCCTCGAGGCTGCCGTCCCCAGGACACTTGCTTGGCAGTGAAATTGCAGGTCGTGATGCCGCAGGCGCGCTGACTCGTTTGTCGCCTGTTTAAGTAACTCATCGTGGCGAGCGGCCAAGGGGTTGCACTCCATCAAGAATGGGGACCGTGGCCGGGTGGAGGCGCCTTCTGGTCCCCGCAACCCTATAAGCGGGTCTATTCGAAAGTAAGTCTCATGCGGGGGGGGGGGGGGGGGGGAGATTACTGGAGCCCGACGGTGCAACGATAGCGGCGAGTCTACTTAGAAGTAAGGCCCACTTTAAGTAAATGCAGGGACTCACGCAACCCTAATCTCCCTACTGCGGGTGGGGACGAATCCGTTTCGCAAGGGACAGTCAAAGCTGGAATTTACTCCTCTGCTGTCGCCTCCCAGGTTGTCGGGGGACAGTTGTTTATAAGCGCGTTGGTTCCAGCAAAAAGAAAGAAAAAAATGTTCGCCTTCTCAGGAATGCAGCCCAGGCGGCAGGGCGGGTACCTGTCGCGTGGAATGTTTTCCTGCTCAGGGTGGGAATAAATTTAGAAAGAAGAAGTCGGGATAGGGCAGCGCGGTCCGTGCCCGAGCGATGCAGAACAGCGGAGTTTTAAACCGACTTGGGAGGCGCTTCTCAGAGCAGATGGATGCACGCTTCCCATCTTGAACTCTGGAGTAAGCTTAACCGAGGATCATGGGACTGCTCTGCGACAGGCCTACGAACTGCAGCTTTCACACTGCGGGCTTGGTTGCGAGAAAGCCTCATTGAACTCAATGGGATTTGCTTCTCCATCGACGTCCAGAGAAGCGGGCTTCCAGAACTGGTGCACCAAGCCCCGTCCCCGGTTTAGAGCTTTGCTTTGATCCAGTGGATTGCAGGGTCCCTGTCCTACAATCGTTTTTTGTTTTTTTTCAAGCACCCTCCTGCAGCCTAGAAGATGTGTCAGGCTATAGCTCCCCTCATCCCCAGCCAGCATGGGTCCTGTGGCCGGGCTCCGGGAGGTTTTGAGTCACTTAGAAATAGGTTGGGCGGCGGGACTTGATAGGTGCGATACAAACTCGGCCTGCTCCATTCATCTCAAGGGGAATCCTCACGAACGACACGGGACCGTCCCCTTCCCCTGCCCCCCCCGCCCTCGCTGCGCCTCTCCCCCAGGGAGATGAAAGCCCACCAACCAAACACTCGCCTTTGCGAAGACGGCTCTTGGGTGTGACGGACTGAACGTCCTTTTGGCGTTGTGGCACATGGACGAATGCAGCCAGCTGCCTAATTTCTGCCTCTGCGACAGGACCTTCCCTTCCCAAATGTGGCAACCCCGACTTGGGTCACTGAGATGGATCAGGAATGTATACAACACAAGGTTGTACCCAATGTTACTCCTAGGTAGAGTAGACCCATGGAAATGAATTGGACTTAAGAGAGATGAACTTTAGAGCCAGGGTGGCATAGTGGTTAGTGCTGGACTGGGTTCTGGTCCCCACTTGGCCAAGTCTCTGGGTGACTTTGAGCCAGTCACTCATTCTCAGAGTAACCAACCTCACAGGGTTGTTGTTGTGAGAATAAAATAGAGCTATGTAAACCACCATGGGTTCCTCACAAGAGGAAAAAAAGATGGGAATGTAATATAATAATGACAACGATGCAGAGAAACATCATATAAGATTGTTCCATTCTTCGAGGTCTTTATTTTAATCGACATATCACCTGTTCCTTTAATAAACCTGCCCCACCAAAAATAATTCAAAGTCCTCCCATTACTGTTCTGAAAAAGACTTTTGCTGTTGAGTTTCTGCCTGTTACTCAACTATTAAACCATACAACAGTCTTGGATAGAGTTGCCACTCCCCCATCTTCTAAGGCTGCTAGATGCACAAAGCATATTACAACTTCTAAATATGGAAACAAATCCCAAGAAAATCATTGCACAGCAAGGGGTGTCTCCAAAATATGAAAGCAAGTAAAATGATGCACACTTTAGAGCTGCACACAAT